TGTGCTGGTGCTAACAAAGCCTAATACCCTAAAGAAGCTGCAAGACCTAGCCATTGTGTATTGGCAGGTACTGGAAGAGACCTGTAGGTCTGCCTTCTGAGAGTGCTTAATCAAGACTGGGAAAGGGACAGTTTATTGACTTGGGAGCTTTCTAGTGATATTGGATTTAACTGCTTGGGGAAGACTCCAGGTGATGGTGCATACTCACTGCTGAGATGACTCCTAGAGGCATGGAAAAAGCCATGGCCAATGCTAAGTGAAGTTGAAATACCAAAATACTGTAGCAGACAGTAGACCAAGGGATTTAAAACCCATGGAAGCTGTTACGCTGGAGTGAATATACTTTGTAAGACCAGGAAATATACTTTGTAAGACCAGTCGCCCCGCCAGCTGATTATGTTCCATGGGAAGGCCTGTAAAATACACTTTACCAAAACCATAAATGTTGTTCCAGTCTGGGGCACCAGCATTACTAAAAGTTTGGTGGTGGCCCTCTTCTATAACCCAGGGCTGGTGGTAGGAAAGGCTCTTACTACTAAGCTCCCTGATAGCACTGGGGATAACTGGGTCCAAATAAAGGCCAGGTGGTAGCACTTAGCTGCCAAAATCCAGGTGGATGACATTATTATAATAAGCGGCAGGGTTAGAGTAGCAGCCAGGAGGCCTGACCCAAGAGATGTAGATAGTTAATCAGAGGTCAGTAGGGGCAAAATAGATGGGAGTTCAACAAGCATATTCTATTCAGCTTGCTATCACGAGAAATCAAGGATGGATGAGCAGGAGGCCAAGGGCAATTGCCCTAAGTAAAAGCCACAATGCAGTGCCAAGTGTCTGGATTTAAGGTAGTTTTCAGAGCCAGAACCCACTGATTGAAGAGGAGGCTAAGTCACTAGTAGGAAGGAAATTGCAATCACATAGCAAATATAATCAGTAATGATATCCCCGCTCCTTCCCCAAAAGTCCTTTACTTGGGTAACTATCAGAATGGCCAGTCATCCCCGTTTTCCCAGAACTTGAGGACTTCTTGGAACATGGGACTTGTTTTTTTTTTTTTTGCGGGGGAAGATTTGGAGCCATTGGGGCTGGCTCAGACATTTTTTTTTTTTTTAATTGGGAAAGTCCTAAGCAAACTGGGATGAGTTGGTCATCCTAGTACTATGTGTTGGGGAAAGTGGAATAGCCAAACAATTTGAGGACTGTTGGACACAGTCTGAACTGACAGTGATACTCAGAAACTTGAAGCATTATTATGTTCCCTCTATTAGAGGCATATGGGGGCCAGGTAACAAACGGAGTCCTGAGAAACATCTGGCTTGTGATATCTCCACTATTTCTTCAGATCCATCCAGCAGTTATTTCCCCAGTCTTTGAAAGTATAATTGAGAATAATATACTAAATAATTAGCACAAGTCCCACACTGAGTTCTTCACTTGTGGGATAAGGATAATCATACCCAAGTGGAAGCTTTAAAAACTGTTTGCCAAACTCAGCCAAGATAATAAATCAAAAACAATACTACATCCCAAGGGGCATGGTGGAAGTGAGTGCCACCATTAAGAATCTAGAGGATGCAGAGGTGTTGATCTCTATCAAATCTCCATGTAATTCACCATTATGGCCCTGCGAAAACTGCAAGAATCTTAGGAAGATGACAGCAGACAACTGCAAAGTCAACGAAGTAGTAATCTCGATTGCAGCAGCTGTGCCAGATGTGATATTTTTGCTAGAGGAGGTCAACATGTCCTCAGGTACACAATATAAAGCCACTGGGGGGCTGGCCCTGTGGCCTAGTGGTTAAGTTTGGCATGCTCCGCTTCAGTGGCCTGGGTTCATGGGCTGGGATCCCGGGTGTGGACCTACACCACTTGTCAGCCATGCTGTGGCAGTGACCCACATAAAAAATACAGGAAGATTGGCATAGATGTTAGCTCAGGGCCAATCTTCCTCAAGCAAAAAAAAGAGGAAGATTGGTAACAGATATTAGCTCAGGCTGAATCTTTCTCAGCAAAAAAAAAAAAAAAAACAAAACTACTGATATGATGAATGCATCTTTTCTATTCCAGGGAGAAAAGAGGATCAGAAAGAGTTCTCATTCACATGGAATAGGAAATAATATACATTTATACTTTTGCCCGGGAGCTTTAACTCTCCTGCCCTCATTTGAACATCCTGTAGAACATTACATGGATTCACTACATCAATGCCATTATGTTAATTAGGCCAGATAAGCAAGAAACTGCTATCATGTTCCTTGATAAAACACATGTGCTCCCAAAGATGGGAGATAAACCCACAAAGATTCAGGGCCTTCTCGTTAGTAAAATTTTTAGGGTTTGTATGGACAGAGGCATGCCAGGATATCTACTCCAAAATAAAAGACAAATTATCATATCTTGTACTTCCCACAACAAAAAAAGGAAGCTTAACACCTGGTTGGTGTCTGTGAGTAATGGAGGCAGCATATTCCACTATTCCACATCTGGGAATACTGCTGTGGCCCACATGCTGGATGACACTAAGGGCTGCCAGCTTTGGTGGGACCCAGAGCAGGAAAGAGCTCTGCCATAGGTCTAGACTGTGGTGTAAGCAGCTCTGCTGCTTGGGCCATACAACCTGGAAGACCCTGTGTTATTAGAGGCATTGGTGATGGGTAAAGATGACCTGTGGAGTTTGTGGCAAGTCCAAGTCGGGGAATCACATGTGGCTTCCAGAGGTTTTGCAGCAATGCTATGAAATTTGCCTTTTGAAAAACAACTCATGGCATGCTCTGGTAGAGTTGGAGCCTCTGACCATGGGACACCAATTGATTGATCACGTATTCACAAATGCCCATCACGAGATGGGGTTTGTCACATCACATCACATCATAAAGTTGGTTGGGCCCAGCACCAATCCATCATAATATGAAAGTGGTACAGTCAGACTGATATGAGCAGTATCAGAATGCAAGCTACATGAGCAGAGAGCCAGACCTCCATGTTATCCAGCAATGTTGGATAATGTTAGAGCAGTGCCTCTCCTTTGGCTAATACCTATGACCAGCTGACAGAGCAAAAAACCTGGTCTTGGTTTTTGGATGAGTTGGCTGGGTATATGGGTACAAATCGAAAATGGATGGCCAACTGCCTGTAGCCTCACTAGGAGTGGCCTTAAAAGACAGCAGTGACAGAAAATTCTCCCAATGGGTGGAGCTTTTGGCGGTGCTCTCACTCATATGTCCATCCACACCTAACTTGCTTGTCTGCAGTCTTTCAATCTTCTTCTAAGCCTGTGACCAACCTACCAGGTCATTCACCACTGCTCAGGAGTCTGTATTATGTTAATTTCAGGCCATTTCTTCTTCCTCATAAATAGGGTGACCTTTATTCTTAGAAATCAGACATCTTTTGTGAAATTTATTTTGTCTAATAAATAACAAACCAAAGAACTATTTAACCTCCCCAACTTTGTCATGTAATTCACATCCCTCTTTCTGGGCAAAGCTTGTTCAGATAGTCATAAGAAATTTTTACTCTAGTGGTTGATATCTACTCTCCTTTTGTAATCGTGGGTAGGGTATTTCGGGCATAGTATACTACTACAATAATAAAACAAATAATAATTGCAGAAAAATCATTAATAAATTTAAGTAATATAGGAATAGTGTCCATATTATACCTTTCTTCTAACTGAAAAATGAATTTTAGCATCATTGTTTTTCTCTACTAGCATCCCAATTTCTTATTATCCTTTTATAGCTCTTTCATATGTTTTATTTTCTAAAGCATTTTCTATGCTTTTTTGAAGAATCCTTTTAAAAAAGAGAGTGTAATATCTATTAGAACATAAGTAATATTTGATTAATTGGAAAGTTATTTTGCAGTTTCCTTCACCTTACCTTACAAAAAAAGTAAGCTGATAAAATCATGGATTGCTGACAAACATATTTGGCCCTCCACTTATATATCAGAAACAAGCCAAACTTTCCATTCATTTTTTAAATCCAGCTCACGTTCTAATTAACTCTCAGTTACTGTGTCTGACCTACATTTTAGTAATTACTTTCTGTTTTCGATTAACCTCAATTTAATTAATCATTTCTTTAAATTCACATGCTATTGGCAAAGAACTTTCTCTGCTTCACAGATTCAAGATTTGTTTCATAGAACTATGTATTCCATTATCATCATGACAAATATTATGTGAGGTTTTTTCCTTGTTATAGATAATAAAAATCAATGATGAAATCATCAATGCTTTTTAAAAAAATAATAAAATTTAAATAGCTGCTGAGCCATAAAATTTAAAAAAAAATAAGAACCTAAGGGTTATATTATTCAAATGAACATTTTGAAACAATGGTTAGTTATTTTGGAGATAGAGCCAGTTCTAAAAAACAGATCCTTTAATATTGACTCTATCAAGAAATTCAGTAGTACTTATAAGTTTCTTGAAAATAAAACAGTAAAACCATTATAAATGGTATAAAAAGCTATGGTGGCATAGCTTATAGCATTGTAAGTATATTTAATTTCATGTATAAGAAAATTTCTTTAAAGAAATAAAGTAAAAAAGAAAACCGCCATCTGGATTTTCCTATAGGTTTGTGGTGATTATCAATGCAAGAAAATGCAAAAAAGACATAAGTACCCAGAGAGAATCTCTGCATGTTATATGTTATCAAGTGGAATGTCTGAAAACGGTGACTCAATGCAAGGAAAATCTATTTTCTTTTCTTAAAAATAATTATTTTAATTAGTGTAAAATCAGATATAAAAGTTCTAAAAATTATTTATAATTCATAAAATCCTGAACATATCATTGAGACACCTAATGCTTTAAGTTTTATAAGGAATGGGATCATTTCCTTTAAGCATAGTTATTCATAGACGAGTATGCAAAATAACAATAGAGAATTTTATATACGTTTGTCAAGAGTATACAGTGTTTTTATGTTCTACATAAAACATTTTTATGTTCAATATTCAAATATTTTCTGATGTTAATCAAAAATACATTTTCATAACTGAACTCCTTCCAATATTAAAGATAGCTCAGTACTTTCTGTATTTAAAGGGTAAGATATAGGCCTTCTTGATAGATGACTACATTTTTGTCTAATTTTCCCCGTACAATTATTATGCCTTTTAGACAAACTAAGTTTAGTTGTACCCCAATTGACAATGAGATTTAAATCTTCTGGAAGTGAAGAATTGGATCTCCTGCTGTCCTCTCTTATTTTAGTACCAAGAGTCGTCTTTAGATTGTGGTTAACACATTTACAGTCTTTGGTCATCTTCTGGCTTTGATGAGTGTGGTATTTTTCATTGATACAAGGGTTTTCCATTCCAGTGGGACATATAATATTCTTGTGATCAATAGAAGGAAGAAATGTTTGTGATGATATTTTCTCAAAGGATCCAGTGGGTAAATCTTGAAGATACCTTGGGAAATGTTGGCAAATTTTATATTCATAGATTAATTTTCTTGAATTTGAATCATCTAATTTGATAGAAAATAGATCATTAATTGTTATATTCTGATAGGTATCTGTTGGACTTTGAGGTGTGTTTAACTTTTTAGAATTACATTGAGGTATACTAGGTAAAATTCCAAGTCTATTTTGTTTTAAGACTAGTCCAGTACCAGGAATAAAAAGTTCTGGTTCTTCCTGTTTTAACAGATGAGTGATGTCTGTGTTTGAAACAGACTGATGTGCGTGTCCATTCACTGCTGTATTGTTCCAGGTTAAAGGATTATATATAACTTGTCCATCAACAGGGCATGAATTGCACTTGTGGAATAACCAACTGTCAATACATTTCCTATGAAACTTTAAAAGAAAAAAGGTTATAAATTAATCAGAGATATAAGTATCTGTTTATAATGTATATTATCTATGTAAATTTCCCCCAGTTTCATTATTGTGTTACTATTAAAGCTATTTAGCAAAATTTGAAGCTAATTATAATTTATCAAGTTTTGTGGAAATATTTTGAAGAGGTTCTCTCAAAAACGGAATTGGTTATGGACTGATCTCCATTTTCAACATTAAAATGGAAAGCCTTATATGGATATCAATTTTGTAATTTCATTAAAAACTCACTACTTACTGAAGCCATTACTTTCACTGATGCTTTCTAATGAATGAAAATTATTAAGTAATAAAAAAAGTCATAACCAACTGGAGTTGAAAATAGATCTGATGACAGTTGGATATAAAATAAATCACATTCGTGGGAAGAAAACAAACTTTCAGACATTTTAAGTAAGAGTGAATCTAAAGCTTTAAATGTTTGTTTATTGGAACAACTTTATATCAGAAAATAAACTATATAGTTTACCATATAGGTTACCAGCTATATAGTGATCAAGCAACGTTCGACTGATTCCAGCGAGTTTGTCACCAGCTATCCGACCCAAGTTTCTTAAAGGAAGTTCCAACAACATTTAATAGTTCCTCAAAGTTGTTTTTCAGAGGGATGAACAGCCACCCACCAGCTTAAACCAGCTCAAATTGGCCCAAACCACACTACAGGAATAATGCCTGTGCAAAAGAATGTACAAAAGTAAGCTTTGCTTCATTATAGTACTAGAATCACTACCCTGGGAGGAGCTAAAGCCTTATTAACATAACATGCAATGTATGTGGAGGCAGGTATTTGAACTGCTCATGTGCCAGCCTCTGCCCGCCTCTACACGGAATGACAAAACTCCCTCTTGCATGTTTGTTCTCTACTGCAAGTAAAAGGCACCCGCTCTCCTTGTTTGGGGAGCCATAGGTTTGTGAAATTATTCCCTATGGTCTCCATTTTGTTTGCTGCATGCCGTAAACAAAATTTTGCTTTGTGTGATAACTATTCCTGGCGTAGGTTTTGATTTTAACTCACCAAGAAGTGGATTCACTTGGTCCAGTAACAAGTTCATTTGAAATAATAATTAACTATGTCAAATTAAGAATTTCTGTTTCATCCAAAGAATCACAAAAATATATTAAAAAGTTAGTATTCTATAAGCTTTTTCTTTTTACTGATAACTAAAATAGATAAAGGAATCTAACCTAAAGTGCCATTTTATCTTTTCCAGATAGTATATACAGAAATGAGTCCTAATCAACAGGAAGCCACCCTTAGTGGGCGGAGCTGCCTTCTCAATAGTCTCTGCTGCAGCTCTCCTACATACACTGTTCAATTTGGACATCTCTGTACATAGTACCACTAAAAAGTAAAACAAGAGACTTAAGTCATCACTTCATTTGTGAAAACTGGCCCTACAGCGAAAGTCAAACTAAAATGATGTGACTTCTACCTTGTGAGTACATGGCAGCAATCTTGCGTGTTGACCAAGATGAAATGCCTTCAAACAAAGTCGACACTGGAAGCCTGGAGCGAGCAGCTTACTACTCTTTGTAATCAGTAAGAGAGGCAGTGACTTCACCACATGTTTTGGTGTGTAAACCTGGCTGAATGAGAATAAGCAGAGAGACATGGATGTTCATATGTGATTACAGATCAGGAAGTAATCAATAGCACAGGTAATAACCTCCATATAAATAATGTAAACCAACCCAATGTTTTCTTGAACTGAAGATAATAAATCCCACACATGATAAAGTAAAAGAAAAACTATTGTATTGATCCTGAACAAGGTGGATCCAACTTCAACATCAACTTCATAAAGAACAAAATTTAATTTAGTCACTTCAAGTAATACTAACCTGAAATTTTTTGATTTGCACTTTTTCACGTCAATGAAATCAGAACAGAATTTTGATGAGAACCATATACTCAAATTATTTCAGTCTGAGCCAACACTTAAGCTTGTGTTTACAAAAATACAACCCAATTCACACTGCCATCTGGTAGGAAGTAAGGTGCACGGTAAGCTACATGAAATATTCCAGGTTACTATGATGAATTGGTAGATCATAATCTATAAGGAAACTTGTTTTCCTTGGGGTATATACTTACCACTTCAGTATTGTTAGACCATGTTAATATGAATCTAACAGCACCAACCAACATAACTAAGATCATACAATGTAAATTAACTGCTGTTTGATGCATTAGCAATGGATAAAACAAATATTTAAAAACAAAATCCTGGTTAAAAGGTTAGATGCATTCCTATTATTCAAAAGTCATTTAGAACAAAGTTCATAGGTATTCTTCGGAAAAGTTTATACTTTACTCTACAGATATACTTCCATCATGTTACAGAAATTGCTTTTACCAAGGTCATCTGATTGTCAACCAAAAAAAAAAAACAACACCTGTGTATTTTTATTATTATTTAAGGTTGTTAACCACTTTTTTTTTTAGCTTGAAATGCTCTCCTTTTATTTATTCCCCTTTCCCTGCCTAGAATGTCCTTCTACCCCTAATGTTCTCTTGTTTCCCCCTACAATATCTCCTAAACCCTTGTCACATAATTTATCAGTCTAATAGGTTGAAGTGTGATACCCAGCCAGGGCCAGGGGAAATGGAGCTGCAGAGCCTTTGTATAGGCTCATTTTATACCCACAAGGCATTTTACCTTCTACAAGAGCTGTGGTCTTGGGAGGGTGGAGTACCCACAGGGCACAGGCTAAATATCCACTGGGTTGGATGGAAACATGTATATATAATATATAAATATATGAGCAAAATTTTGGGGAGGTTAATTCATTGAAATTATTATTTTTTTTAATAATTTCAATTTTATCCCATTTTTTTTTTTTTTTTGTGAGGAAGATCAGCCCTGAGCTAACATCCATGCTAATCCTCCTCTTTTTGCTGAGGAAGACTGGCTCTGAGCTAACGTCTATTGCCAATCCTCCTCATTTTTTTTTCCCCAAAGCCCCAGGAGATAGTTGTATGTCATAGTTGCACATCATTCTAGTTGCTGTATGTGGGACACGGCCTCAGCATGGCCAGAGAAGTGGTGTGTGGGTGCGCGCCAGGGGATCTGAACCCGGGCCGCCAGTAGCGGAGCGTGCGCACTTAACCGCTAAGCCACGGGGCCAGCCCTATCCCATCCTTTTAAATGATCTCTTTTGTATGTTTTATAGTGTACCTAATACATTAATAATACACAGTATGTTTAATGTTCTTTAATTGATAAGGACTATGACAAAAGGTCATACTTATGACAATAGCCCAATCAGTGTTCTGAAATACAACCAATCCGCTCAGCACTTGTCCTCCCTGGGGGTGGAAGAGAGAGGGAATGAGGCAGAAAAGACTTCCTTCCCCTAGAGGCCAATTACTTCAAAGGAAATATCAAATCCCACTATATTTTTTCTTTTTATAACTTATATCAGTTCTAATTTTACATTTATTTAGATGATCATTTAATTACTGAGGAAACTACTACCTCCCTAATACCTAGTACAATCTCTGGTAGAATTAATAATAATAACAGACGACATTATTTGAATATGTAAAGTGTGTATTAACTCATTTCATACTCACAAAATTCCTGAGGCTGCTTTTATAATTATCCCCATTTTAAAAATGAAGAAAATTTGGCAGAGATAAGTGAAATAATTAGCCCAAAAGCCATATAGCCAACTTGTGGTTGAACTAGGATTGGTTTCAGACTGTCTGACTCCAGAGGCTTGCTCTTCACTTGCATACTCTAGGGCAACCTAGTACATAATAAGTGCTCAATGTATATTTATTGAATAAAGAAATGAATAAAACTTATTCACACTGAAAAATTATCTAAATATCCCAAGTCATACAAGAAATGTAAATTTCACTGAGAATCTCACCCCTGCTTTTCTTGAAAATGTGGCATGTTTTCTTCTTCCTCATCTTTAATATCTCTACATTTTATAATTTCATCTGATCTTTTTTCTAGTGATTTCCATCTTTGATTTCTCTTCTGTAATAGGTAAAAAGTAGATGTTACTTTGCAAATCATGGAAATTTTTATTTCGTGGATTAAAATTAGTAGGCTGCATGTCAATAACATAATAATGTGAATAATAAAGAGTCATAGTTTTTAAACATACCTATTTTTTACCACCTTAAAGGATTTTCAAATTATTAGTGAGTCAAATATACTATTGCACAGCTACTATACTAACATTACTTTTTAAGGTAAAAATATTAATCAATAATGGTAATTGTGGATATTTCACCTCATGTGGTAAGTAGAAGGTAGCATTATTCTTTAGCACCAGAAGATTCTTATTTTTTAAGGGTACAGTTCAAACGTTTGCATAAAATTCCATGAGTTTCATTATTGTCAATGTAAGAAATTTTAAAACCAGAAATGGTGTCAGTGTTAATTTGTAATGTTGAGATCTTTTTTAAAAATGAATTTTCAAGTTTGATGGCTGCAATTCCTGTCTTTAAGATTTATGTATAACGTCATCAGATGTTTGTTATTGTGCTGGATTTTATAAATTACCAACGTGAGAACTAGTTGCCTTGTACGTCCCTATGAAAAAGAGTTTTCCTAAAAATATGGTCTTAGATTTTTACTAAAAACGATCAGCTCTATTACAAAGTGTTATATATTCTTATTATTCTTAGATTTACTTTACTTAGATTTACAACAGGACAAATACAAACACTATATGAAATTCAAGATGGATACTGTACCTCACGAAATGTAAATGGGTGAGAAGGATGGCAGCAGCTATCAAAACATTCTTGGCATAAGTGATATTCTACACATTTGGTACACCTAAAGATACAAAACACCAAAACATACAAGAAAAACATCCGATTATTTTGATGTTTTTGGTGAAAAATTTTAGCCAAACTTTCCTGGGAACTGTGCAGATATAACAAGGCCTACCTTAAGTCTCTTCCTATATTAGTTTCCTGTTGCTACTATAATAAATTACTGTCACCGACTAGGTGCCTCGAGAACCTCAAGAGTGAGTTTAGAAGCAATTAACTGTTTTTCCAAGTTGTTTCTTTTCCTTTTGTATGTTAAGGAGATGTAACCACCAGCCATCCCGAAACTGACCAAGCCTCACCACAAAAGCTATGCCCATGACCTTTGCCTTATTTTTAATGCAAAGATCTCTCCAGGAGGAGTTTAGGCCTCATTATGTGGAAGCATGTTCTCCAAATGAGCCTGTGCAAGTGAATAGCCACCTCTCCCTTTTGAATATTCATTTCCCAACCAGATAAAATTTCCTGCTTCCCTTTGTTTGGGGACGCCATGACTCTGGAAATGATTCCTCATGTCCTCCTATTTGCTGCAAATACACTTTACTTTGTGAGACAACTTCCACTGGTGTAGAGTCTTATTTAACACACCAGGAGGTGACACTTGGTTCAGTAACATTACAACAAATTTAGCAGCTTAAACTACACAAATTTATTATCTTATAAATTTCATAGGATAGATGTCTGACATGGGGCTCAATGGGCTAAAATCAAGGGGTCCGCGGGGTTACATTTTTTTTTGGCCGCTTTAGAGGAGATCTGTTTCCTTGCCCTTTCCATCTTCGAGAGCTTAGCTTATGGCCCTTTCCTCCATCGTCAAAACAAGTAGTGCAACATCTCTCTGGGCCTTTATTCCACAGTCACATTTCCCTCTTACTCTCTTCTTTGCCTCCCTCTTCCACTTTTAAGAACTGTTGTGATTATACTGGGCCCAGGCAATCCAGGATAATCTCTTTATTTCAAGGTCAGGTGATTAGCAACCTTAATTCCATCTCTGCAACCTTAATTCTCCTATGACATGTAACCTAACATACAGATTCCCAGCGTAAAACTGTGGATGTGTTTGTGACAGCATTATTTTGCCTACTACACATCCCTTCCATGATGTCTTCCTGAAGTACTTGAGCTTTCGTTTACCTTTCTCTAAATTCCTATAGGATCTGCAGCCCATTAGATATTCTACCATTTGATTATCCAATTGTGTTTTCCAATTGTTTCATGAAAGCTAGAGTTATACTTAGCAGAATACTTCTTATAAACAGGAATTGTATTCTATTCTCTCTTTTTTCTCTCAAAATAGAAAAACCTATATGTATAAAAATTTATCAATAAAAACTATTGATAAATCTAAAAAAACTTCACTTTCCACAGAAGCTCATCTCAAACTTATATCATTTATAAAAATTTTTCCAAAGCAGAGATTTTAATTTACTTGCAGCAATATTCACCAAACAAATAATATTTTGAGCAGTAATCAAATGAACTTATATTCTTACTCAAATTATCAAAGATTAGAAGACTATTTCCATGAGAAATTTTGGAAAATATGTTTTTCAGACATCTTAGCAGCAAGTGCTAATTTATTCATTATTACTATTTATACATACAGGGAAGATTCTTAATAATATCAATCAATCAGAGCAATGGTGCACTTTCTTTGACACATCAAAATATGCTGGGCTAAAAAAGTTAAGCATCTCTATATTTTAATATACATATATATGATATTTTTAGAATTCACTTCTCAAAAGATGAGTAGCTGCATTGTGAACTTGAATGAAGAAGAACTGAAAAGCTTTCTAGTTTATCTTGTCTCCTGCTCAATCTACTCCTAAAATTTCTGGAAGCAGTTTTGCAGCCTAATGACTGAAATGTCAGTATTTGAGGGAATGGAAGGAGGGCGAAGTCACAAACGTTGGAAATGCATTCTTTAATTTGTAAAAGAAGATTGCTACAGAGGTGAAAAACTGTGAGCCAAGCTCATAGAGAAGTATTCTCAAAGGAGAGTGTAGAGCAGTGGGCAGGGAACAGAACAGTGGAGATGCCTGTATTGAGGGGTAGTAGGAAGAATCATCCACGAGGACAGAAAGATCAATCAGAAAGCTCAGAATGACAGAGGCGTGCACCGTCGTGAACAAAATACTTAAAAGCAAGATTTGAGATAATCTACCAAAAGCACACAATAACCATTTGAGGAATACGTGACTACGAGGACCGAGAATGTTACACCGTGGCTCTTCCGTGTCCTTGTCCTCCACAGCTGTTCCTCTCAACCCCCTCTTTCACTTGTTACCTTAGCCCCTTACCAGTTCTTATCCACCCCTCTTGAAAAAATTTAAATTGCCCCAACAACGGCTGCCAATCCCAAAGACCAATCTTTCCTTTCCCCAGAACCCTCTTTAACAAACATTCCCGAAACTAGCTGAACACCTTCTACTAAACTTCTATAAAAATTCTGCCCTTCTTCCTCAAGTTAAACGCTCCTTTGGAGCCTTCTTGGGCCAGCCACTTTCCAATGAAGACTTTTGCTAATGGCGCTCTGGTTGATTTTCTTCTCTGTGACACACAGAGGAAACAAAGGACTAAAACAGTTCACAAGAGAAAGATATCATTTGCTGTTGGGAATGACAAAAAAGTTTTATGGTCTTATGAGAGGGTTTTAAAAAATATATTAATTGGGCTCATCATAATGTTATTCCAAGAAGACTGAAAAGTAAACATTTTAGAAAAATATTTAACAAAGATTGAAACAAAATATTTTTTTCTTAAATATACAGTTAACCTCAAATTTTAATTGAGAAAATACAATTTTCTAAGCATAACAATTAATTGATGTTTTATTGTGGCAATTGTGGGAAAGTTTGGGGATTACTCACAAAAGTAATGAAAATTGTTTTCTCTAATAAGTATAGGCACACCTCGGAGATATTGCAGGTTCTGTTCTAGACGACCCCAATAAAGCGACTATTGCAAAAAAGCTAGTCACACAAATTTTTTGGTTTCCCAGTGCATATGAAAGTTATACTTACACTATACTGTAGTCTATTAAGTGTGCAACAGCATTATATCTAAAAAAACAATGAATATACCTTATCAAAATGTGACACAGAGACACGAAGGAAACAAATGCTGTTGGAAAAATGGCGCCGATAGACTTGCTTGATGCAGGGTTACCATAAACTTTCAATTTGTAAAAAAAAACAATATCTGTGAAGTGCACAAAGCGAAGTGCAATAAAATGCGGTATGCCTGTATCTTCTTGTTGTTTTTGTTGAGATATAAGATACGAAAGGAAACAAAACATGTACTCATTGCAATATGGAGTAGAGGGAACTCAATTAAATGTTCAGTCGATCTAGTCAATATCCTTCTGGCTCAGTCCTAGGAGTTTCTGGCCATGATCTCATTGGTGGTTTAAAGAAAGTTACAGGGGTGAGAGGTCTAGCAGGGCTCTGAGCTTGGAAATTTATCTTGGCCAAAGCAACAAAGCCTATGTCCAGAGCCTCGAGGATAGGATGCTACTTCAGACTCTCAGTCTAGACTGGAGTACAAAGCCAATACTTTTGTGTAAGTGAAGAAAATATAACAACTGGAGTTCTTGAGGTACTGGGCTGGCAGAGATCACCAGTCTGGTAATTCTAAGTAAGCAGCCCTGACTTAAGGCAAACACACTACATAAAGGAGGAAGATGGCAGCCTAGAAGACTGGTACTCTAATGCTCAAAGTTTCCTAAAGTTAAAAAAAAAAGTTAGAATACAGGTTTATAATTTTACTGATGACACTTACTTATAACATTTCCCCTCAATTGGAAATTGTTTACAGTTGTTACAGGGAATTCCAAGGTGTTTGTCTAGTCGCTCTTTCTCAGCTACAGTCACAAGTTTGCTAGAGTTTTTGAATTCCTCTAAAATAAGTTTTAATGGTGCAAACTCTTTCCTACACAGAGGACATTTCAACATGGAAGTGTTCGATGTCATATTCTGAAAATTAGCTAAGATCTTCACGCATTTTATATGAATACTATTTCCACAGCCAAACCTGTTAGAAATAAAATTCAAGTTTACCAATTTGTATACAGTGAAGTTATATACATATATTTGTATAAATACAATTTTCTGTGCTACCATAAAAATATATTCTGAACTGATTTTCCAAAACATAGCTTGATTACATACATAAACACTATCTTTTCTATTTATCTGTTTATCTTTTCTAAACACTATAAATCTATAATCTTTAATTTAGTACACCAGAATTCCAAACAAATACTCTATTCCAATGAAATGCTGGTAAAAGATTTTGAATTATTAAATTATTTTTATTTTAAAAGTGAGAATGAATACAGTCTTGATAAAATGAAAAATTATAACAATAATTATTTCTTAAACAGAATGCATCACGGAGAGCAGAGATGTCACCTTATTTTTCCAGAAATCACACAACGTGTGGTAGTACCCAGTAAATATCTGCTGAGAGAAATAATATTTTGGGAAATAGTTAATAATTTTAAACTATGCAATAGAAGCACAGCCACATGAAAAACTACAATGTGGATGAGAATTTTGGCTAATAATCAGGAGAAAAAAAGAATGAAAAAGTTTAATAGCAAATGATTGCCCAAATTTTTCCAAGTCCAACTTTACAGTGCCTTGAAGCATGATATAAATATTACATTCTCAATAAACATTTGGTGAAACTTTGAATTATTTAAGTTTAAAGATAGAGTTTTAAAAAACCAAAAAGAATTTTTATAGTTTTAAGGTAAATTAATCTTTACTTTCAGGAAACTTTCTGTAACTACTCTAAGTTATGGCATTTATTCATGTGTATAAAAGTAAAAATTATCTCACTTTAATAACTTTAATAACTAAAGTGGAAAGAGGAATTGAGTGAAGTTTTAATTTTCACCCTTTAAGAGGCAGCCCAGAAACATGTAGACTAAGAACAGGACCTCCCACAACAGATGCATTAGGAAACAAAAGAAGGCCAATTAAATATAATTGCTTAAACCTATTGTTTCTCTATCAACATGTCTCATAACATAATCAATTACAAACATTAAATTAGAATTTTTTCAGAAGTTTTTATTTTTATTTTTTAATTAATTAATTAATTTATTGTGAGGAAGATCAGCCCTGAGCTAACATCTACCAATTTTCCTCTTTTTGCTGAGGAAGACTGGCCCTGGGCTAACATTCGTGCTCATCTTCCCCCACTTTATATGGGACGCCGCCACAGCATGGCTTGACAAGTAGTGTGTCAGTGCACGCCCGGGATCCGAACTGGCGAACCCCGCACCACTGCAGCAGATCGCGAGCACTTAACTGCTTGCGCCACTGGGCCATCCCCCATAAGTTTTTAGAATCTAAAGAAAAAAACATGTCACCTGCAAAAGGTGACAGGGAGCTTTTTCTCTAAAAATACTTCATGACAAATAGAGCAGATATCATCTGAACCAATTTCTTTCTGTTTAATGCACTCAGCTTCTCCAATATGTGCATTTTCGTCCTCCGTTCTTTGTTGAAGAGTTTGAATTCGGTGTATCCCCCGAAGCAAGTCATTGATTTCTCTTTCCGTGAGACCTAACTGCAAAGCAGCTGGTGAAAAATCCCAAAGTATGAAAGTTCAGTGGCAAAACTGGAGATACAGAAATGTAACAACTTATGCTGAAAGTTAGAATTTTCTTTCAAATATCAGAAAGACAGTTTTGGTTGAATTATTACACTGACATTTACCATTTTTGTATTTCTTTCAGAGCCAAAAAATCAGAAAAGAGTCATTTATAAAAAGAATGGAAATTATCTCTTTCTTTCTTGTTACCGAAAAGTCAGTGCAAACAGTGCATTAGAAGAGTTTTGGATTATTATATGATAATGTTCATCCTTGGATTGGTGTTATAATCATGTCTTACATTTTGATCTGTTCAACTTGTCCATAAACAAATATATTGTCAAGATACAAAAGTATTAAAAGAAATGGGTGCAAATACATAAAGGGGAAACAGAGATATTTTGAGTAATTAGTGTAATTAATATTTGTTAGATGAATAAATGAATGAATGGATAATGGGAGAGCAAGACTCAATTAATTGTGCCTATTTTCCTGTCTCAGTTTCATGTGCCTACAAGAGTGTCTTGGTGGCCATGTCCTTCATAGATTTGGTCAGTATTCTTCAGGACAATCTATAAGAGCTACACTGCCTGTACCCTTGGCGTGTGCATTCTTTGAATTCTAAATTTTCTCCATCCTACTGTCCTTATAAGAAATTGTATTCTAAGTACATATAGTTTGGATCAGTGCATCCTAGATTCTTTATTCCCTGGCCCATCCCCATGCTCCTTTCCCTTAAACTGCCATAATTTAAATGCCAGGTGTTATTGGCCCTCCGGAGTTCTATTCATTTTATACATTCTTTAACACATATAGATCAAAAAATTATTTGCAAGATAATGAAAAGCTCCATTTTCCTGGAAAGACTCCCAATTAAACACTAAAAATACTGAAAATATCATAGATACATTTCAATACAGAAATCTCTGTTCCTTGTTTGAGGTGGGGTGGCAGGTGGGATGTAGGAGTAATTAACCATTACTTTGGAGAAGAAGGGCTATTTGTCACAGAGACACAGCAGCATCTGCTCCCTAAAAAAAATGGGGAGGAAAATGAAGAACAAAAGATGTGCTTTGCGGAATACAGATTTTCTAAGGCAGCAGAAATACTGAAACACAAAAGTTCATAAAAGGAGCTGGCCATAAACCGTTCTGTGTGGTATAACATGAATTGGAAAATAAAAGGGAGAAACAAACTCTTCTGAAATTAATTTGGAAAAATTAATGTATGAGACCATGAAGAATATTCTTTTATAGAGAAGAGCAAGGAATCAGATATCACAATGTATTACAAAAAATAATAAATAATATATAAGAATTCACTAAATAATAGATATTGTGAAACAAGGAGGAAAGAAGCACTATTCAATAACTGTTATTGAGATAACTGAGCGGCAATACGGAGAAAATTTAATTAATTGAAACCAAATACCAACCTCCAACTTATACCAACACAACTACACATGGATGCTATAATGAAAAATAAAAATAAAATAGAAAAACTAGCAGAAAAAACCTCCAAAGGACTCTTTATCAATACTATAGAAGAAAGATAACTTTCAAAGAATTGAAACAATACACATGAAAGGAAAAAATGGTCAGCTTTAACAACACAAAATATCCATATGTACAACAAAATTTAATAAAGCCATATAAAAGAGAATTATAATATTAGGAAAACATTTGCAAAGAGGGGTAATCCCTATATTTAGGAAGAGTTTGTAGTTTTATCCCAATAAATAAATAGCCAAAGTACAATTCACACAAGAAATATGAATAGCAAACAAGGCAATGGGAGATGTTCAATTTCACTAACATCAAAGAAAAGTGAGTCAACATGAGAATGAAGCACAGACACAGAATAAAACTTATTAAATAAGCAAGAATAAATAAATACAATATTACGTTTTGTTTGCTTTATGTATTTTATTTTTGTATTTAAAAATACAAAAGTATATTGTATTTTGTATTAAAATGCTGTTTGGAGGCATTTTAGATCTTCTAAGGGTATGTTAGATGTATAGGAGAATTTAAACTATTTTCTTATTTAATTTACTAGGAATGAATAGATCACTACGAATCTTGTATCTGGCATTTTTTTCTCGCTTTGTGTGACTTCGTCTTTTTTCTAATATTATAGAAATATTACCAACATTACAAAATATTTCTGTGTGTCTTTATTTTCTTTGGGGACTTAAATATGCTGTTAATGTCTTTCACCATATGCTTAGGTAATAAGGTTAAATGTGTCTAAAACATGAATGGAAAAAACTAACAAAACTAGCAGAAAATTGATATATTGCTGAAATTATAAATCAGCAGAAGTATTTTAAAGGCCAATTTGACAGTACATATGGGGGTCAGACATAAAGATAGTAATATTTTTACTTTAAAATCCAATTAATGAGACTTTAGGCAAAAGAAATAACTGAAAAAAGGAAAATCATGTACAAAAAAATGACATGTAGTTAGAAATAAATTAAATGCCTAACAATGGAGTAATGTTAAATAAATTATGATATACTATATACAGTGAAATATGGTAACCATTGATGACTTTAATTACAGAGATTGCATAGCATTGAAAATATTTATAAAGTAACACTTGTGATAAAAGCAGAACACAGAATTCCCACAGACTGTTAGGCAAACATAAAGTCAAAAAGGAAAACAGAAAATAAAAAAGTTCCTTGGGCCAGCCCTGTGGTTTGGTGGTTAAGTGCGCTCGCTGCGATGCTGGTGGCCCGGGTTTGGATCCCGGGTGTGCATCGAGGCACCGCTTCTCCATTCATCCTGAGGCCGAGTCCCACATACAGCAACTAGAAGGATGTGCAGCTACGACATACAACTATCCACTGGGGCTTTGGGGGGAAAAAATAAAATAAATAAAATCTTTAAAAAAAAAAAATAAAAAAAAAAAATAAAAAAGTTCCTTATATCTTAGCGATGGGAATTTAAAAAAAATACTTTAATGTGGTTTTTATTTTATTTGTAAATATTTAATTAAAAAAAGGAACAGATGGCATTTATTAGACGTATTTAGAAGAAACTATTAGGTAATAAATCTAGGTTTTGCTGAGAAACATTTGTTAGGTGATGGAAAAAAGAATGTTCAGTGTTCAAAAACTAATATCTCTATAATAAAATTCCTGCATAATCATCATTGTAGGTCATCAAAAATAAAAGTCTCAGGTTTCTGATATGTAAAACCAGGGTGCAAATAATCGTTTCTAGATTTGTTCTAGAAAATAATCTATGAATGATGTTCAAAACTATCCTCTTTCATTACTAAGTAACCATTTCCTCCACACTTATGTACATACTTTACATAATCCTAATGAATAACTGTTTATAGCTTTCTTTGAATTATTTTAATTTTCATGTATTTTTGTTCTAGCTTTCATCTAAATGATAAATTTCAAGGTCATTAAGACTTCTACTTTCTTTGAATATTTGTGCATATAGAATTTTCTCAATGTTGACTAAAACTTTTAAATATAGGAGATATGAAAAATCTTTTATTTTAGTAGGAAGCATAAATGTTCAAAATTAATATATAGAATTAATTTTAAACATTAAAAAATTTTCTACTATAGACTGATATTTATAAAAAGAATAAGACATAGTTTCTGCCTTTAAGAAGTACAAAGGATAATACAATATAAAGTATCAGACTGATCCATATGAAATTGTTGCTTTTGTGGATGAAAAAATCCAAATATTAGCAATTCATATTATTCAGTTTATAAAAATCACCTAGCAGATATGCAGTACAATAAATATTGTTAAATTTAATTGAGTAGAGCTGCACCGTCCCACACAATAGCCATTAGTCACATGTGGCTACTGAGCACTTGAAATATGGCTAGTGTACTGAGAAACTGAATTTTTAATTTTGTTTCATTTCAATTTAAATTGAAAACTGATAATCAATAGTTATTGGAAAATTTATAAGTATGTTTGTAACAATGTGGGTATTATGTGAATCTATTTTTCAATGGAATATTTCATGAAGTCTAAATGAAGATCAAGTATTTCTAATGAAAATATAGTATCTGAGTTGAGATGTGCTGGAAATGTAAAATACACACTAGAGTTTGAAGACCATAAAAAAAATATAAAATATCTCATACCTTTTATATTGATTATATGTTGACATGATAATATTTTGATGTATTGGGTTAAATTAAAACATTAAAATTAATTTCCCCTGTTTCTTTTTACTTTTTATTAATACGGCTACTAGAAAAGTCCATATGTGGCTCACACTGTATTTCTGTTGGACAATCCTAGTATAAAATCTTGTGAAAAGATATGGAAAATAGTGTACAGAACGACGAAGACTTTGGAAAGGATGTGAACATTTAACTTCAGGTGGATAAAATGGAGAAGTAAAGACGAAAACAACATGTAGGAAATTACACAAGCTAATCATTGAGTATGAAGGAATTAGCAGGGAGAAGTAGATAGTAAGTGGCGTTTCAGAAAGAACCTTTTGTCTACAGTGTGAAGGAGGAAGGTGAGAATGAGGATAGAAAGATGAGGATACTGTGGAGAGGTAAGTAGGGTGTAACATAAACAGGATTTGTGGGATGACTCAACATATGAGCGAAGAGGAAGGAGGCTGGGAATCAAGAGGAATCCTAAGGTTTCTAGCTTCGGAGACTAAAGCAAAAAGAAAGCCAATATGTGAGGTAGGGAATATAAGAGCGGAGCACCTATGGGGGAAATTTGGTATTTAAAATGCCTGTGGGACCTTCAAAATTGAGGTGCCCAGAAGGCAGCTGGAAATACTGGTCTGCCGTAAAGATGTGGACATCACTGGCACAGATGTTAACAGCTGGCGACACAGAAAATAGGAGACATTTCTAAGAGAATGTGTAGAGTGAGAGAAGAATACAAAAGAAAAATCCCTGTGAAACAGTAATACTAATTTATTATCTAGTATAACTTTTAAACGTCTACTGTGATTATACTTATATAATAGTTGGGGGGGATGAACTTGCCTAAATACAATACTCTTTGAAAAAAATTAAAAACAGATTATTACTTTAATTCTTTATGAATATTATAAAATTTATTAACAAGCTTTAAAATGCCATTGCAGTTCTTAGATGGGTCTAGTGTAGGTCAAATAACTCCTTGATTGCAGGGAACACTTCCATAATAATGTATCTTTATTATAAAATGTACAAAACCAAATGGCCTGTAATAAAATTCTTTTTCTTTTTTCTTTTTGAGGACTCTAGAATTTAAAGGCACACGACTATATGCCTGACTCTAATCTCACTTTAAATACTGACATAAAAACTACTTTACTCTAAAAAATATATTTTTTTCATAAAAATTTCAGTCAGTAAACACTTTTGAACGAAATTATGTGCCATGTCAACTGTCTATTTCTGAGATCTAAAAAATTACATTTCTTATTTTCTCATGATTAAAATAATTTTAGATACAGAAACTACTGTGAATCTTTGCTTAGAACACATGAGGGATGTTTTTTCTACCGAATGGCCATTGTTTCACCCTTTTTTTATTAAGTTCCTTTGAATTTGAAAATGATATATAAAGTTACATTTTTTTATTAATAAAGAAAAATGTTCCGACTGTCTTAAGCGTAACAAACTGGGCTACATACAGATAGTTGTTAGATTGTCTAGAAAAATAACTGTCTAAATTTAGAACACGTATAAAGAAGAAACTATTAAATTTGTTAACTTCAAATTAGTAAAAATACAACTTACATTCATGATTCCTTGGAAGCCTGAATTTCTTCAACAAGACCCTAATATTCACAAGTAGAAAAACAGGACAGATCATTTATTTCTGACATAACCTCAAAAGATATTATTTCATTTTAATTTTAGAATAGGAATAGCATTATAGAATTTATATTGCTGAAAGTGTTATGAACAGACTTAAAACTCTCATTAGTTTTCTGTTATAATAGTAGTTAAATTTATGTTTTAAAATAAGCATATGTGAAAAAAGTATAATAAATGGAAACAAAAGACATTTGCAGTAAAGAGATTTGCCACAGAGAGTTCATGTATTTCTTTACGACAGACAGTCATTCACAGAGAAAGGCTAGTAAGGGAGTTTAGGTATTCATAGTACTTCCTTTAAACTTCCCCGGAAGTTTCCCACTCCTGGAAATGGAGTGATTTTCTGGATAGAGTACCAAATGACTGTTTTTCTACATAGACCACTTTAATGTACAGAGAAAAAATATTTTCAAATATCACCAATTGATGAAATATGGCTTTTTTTTGAAGTGGGAATATATATCAAATTCTTAAACATATTAAATATACTTTAGTATATTAAATACTTGGAGTATATTTCTATTCAGTTTATGGTTTAACGTACTGTAAAAAATGAGTTACATTGCATAAAAATCAAAACTGAATGCCCTTGTCCTGAGGAAGCTGGTATAAAATAAAAATGGAAAAAAACCTATTTTAAGTATAACAAAACCAAACTGCAAGTTTTGAAAGGACTATATTTTATACCTTTATGCTAACTAGAGCTAATAACATATGTTAGTAGATGCTCAATAAAAACTGATCAAAACAAAACTATAAAAAACTTAGTAAATAAAAGCATTAGAAATAATAGCTATATACTGTTTTTTTTTCCTAAAAAGAAAAGCATTAGAAATATGAGATACACACTCTGTTCTCAATTTCTTGTTTAAATTTTTCCCCCAAATATCAATTGCACATTTTCTATAGTAATACAATTAATGATTTGTGGGTATAACTTGAGGCAGATAAACAAAATGAGTTGATTTGGCTTTAAATAGAAAAAATCTTTTTGCTTTTCATTTCTCAGATTCCCCTACAAATAGGTTGTGACACTAGAGGAAAAGTTTCAGATTTGACAGAAGTAATCTTCGGTACAGTGCTACCTATATCTTGAAAGATGCACAGTCAAAAGCTCATTTTAGAAAATAATAAATTAAAAAATACTATAATGAACCACATAATTATCATCAGTGAGGTGAACCAGGGAGTTTTTTTCTGTTTTATAGTTAGATTTCACATTTGTACATAATGAGAATCTAAAAATTGATTTTTTTCTTATTAAAAACATTAACATTCCAAACATATAGAGGTGGTGGTATGTTTCTCAACTTAAACCTTATTTAATTTTTGGAATGAAATAAAATATCCAACAGTATATTGATAAACTATGACCATTTTACCTTTATGTTCTCCCAACAGCAAATTTCTTTACTCCTGAATACTCAAACCACGAAAAAGGCAAAACATATTATATACCAAGATGTTCCTTTGTGGAAGACCTTCACTACTAAGCTACTTACCAGCATATATGCTTACAAAGCTCCCCTCCTTTCAGAAATCTGGAACAGTCACAAAAATGAGGATTTCCTAGAAAAACCTTTACAGGAAAAATGTATACTTTAAAAAAACTCCAGTTAATTTTCAGAGTTAGAGTAAAACCAAGTTAATAGATAATAGGATTAAAAGAGATTTCAAGAGGTAATTCAGTTTTGGTGACTCCAAAAGGTTGAATAGAGTTCACTGGGACATCTTAACTCTTGACACCAGTTTCTAGGCTGGGTTTTCACTTGCATATTCTTTGCCTTGGTCAACAACTCGCATTATCAATTAAGACTGTTTTTAAGTGATCTGCACTCAGGTGGGTGAAAAGAAATCTAATTTTAAAAGTAAAAAAAAAAAAAATCTATAAATTTCTTACTGAAAGGAAATTCTATCTTGCAATGGAGGTGAAAAACTTTCCTAAGGCAGTTCATCTTGGACTTCTGTTTGTTTTGTACATTTGAATTGGTGAGTTTAATTTTATTCAAGAAAACTAATTTTATTCACTAGGACTATATTGGCCAAACAATTTATTAAATACACTAAGTGTGGTAAGCAACAAAGGAAAAAAAGGATGTCTTAAATAAACACAGGCTAATAATCTGTATTCAGTACCTAAAATGCACAACACTAAATTAAAATTTTCCAAGTTAACTCCTGGGAGGTGGTGCAGCGGCTGATTTTTGAGCGGTGAGAGCGGGATATGCGAATATGAAATATCTGTGGTCTTTCAGCAAAATTAAAAAGAATTTTTATTCATTAAGACCTTTCCAAGGTATCGCCATTTAAACGATACTTTAAAAGGTTCTTGTTACAGCTTGAGAGCTACTAAAGAGTAAAGAAAAACCGATTTTACTTATTTAGCAAATATTTACGGTACGTAAACAGATTGTAGGATTTTCATTTCGTTTGCGTTACAGGGCTAGTGACTGCTAACAACTGATCCAAGAACGCACGTAAATAGTCATATAAAACGTCTCACTTTTTCAAGCCTAAAGATCAAGGGCCATCATCTTACAAGAGCTGGATTCAATTCGGACTCCTAACTTTCAACAATGAAACTTTTCTAACGAATACCCTTTCCCCTGCAATTTGCACATCTTAGAGTCTGGAACATGGGCAGGCGGGGTATGGCAGCGAGTGGCCGCAGGGACTGCGAGGGTGGCCTGATCCAGCGCGGGCCTGGGGGACCCCGCGGCCGACCGGGCGGGGGCGGAGGCGAGCTGGGGGCGGTAGTTACTCGGAAATCCCTGTATTCTGGCTCCTCCTCCCTCAGCAGGAAGCCAGTGGGGCCCATCTCTTGCAGGAGGTAGATGCTGCTGCTCAGCGCCAGGTCTTGTTGCCAGCTGAGGTGGTCGCTCAAGTGTCTTCGCCTTTCAGAGGCCCTGGAGCCTCGGCGAAGCATCCTGCCAGCGTCGCGGGCGAAGGCAGCCCCTGGGCGAGGCTCTCTGAGGCAGTAGCTGGTCTCCGTGACAACCGCGTGGTCTCCGTGACAACCGCGTGCTCTCCGGTTGCCTTGGTGACGGTGGTTGCGATCCGCGGAGTCCCAGCATGCCTTGCGCCGAGCTGGGGCTGGCATCAAAGGTGCCGGCGGCTGTCGATTGCACAGCTCGCACCCGCCTCCACTGCTTCGTGAAGCGGCGCCCCCGACCGAGGAATTTTTCTAATAACCAACTGGCTGATTAAAAAGCTGGCGGCCTAAAGCATAGCTGTCAACTCTCTCGAATTCCTTCTGCTGGTTCCTCGCAGGCAGGGCTCGTGAAATCTGTGTGTTAGGACAGTCGCACAACCCGGTGTCTCATTGGGCCCTGGATGCTAAAATTATCCAGTGATGATTCATCATCCTTATCAGAAAGCCCAGAGTGATTGCTGACGTTCAGCAATATTCCACACACGTTTCCCGATTGGTCACTATGTGCATCATCTGAGCGAGTTGCTGGGGAAGAGCACAGATGTAGAAAACAGGTCTAACTCCTGGGAAGCGAGATCCTTAAATGAGTGTGTGTGGGTGTGGGTGTGGGTGGGTGTGGTCTTAAAGCAAGGGGGGCATCTGTAAATTGCATGTTGGGTGGGGATGGGTGATGGGCGGGGTGCGGAACCCATTAACTGTGCTCTCTAGTTGCAAATCCCTATTCTAAGGAATAAGATTCCCAAGGTATGCAGTGTTGACCCAATACTTCAAATTGCCTGTGAGCTTCGTTACCACGTTCTAGGGGGAGAGCTATAACAACTTAAGGTATGAATCAAGTAAAGAAGCCATATTACTGGAATCTCTTTAAGAAGTTGAAATCAGGAAAGAGCCGCTTGGTGGCCCAGTAACATAAAGAAAGATGGGGGATATTTGTCCCATTTTATCACGGGAGGAAGCCACAACTAGATTATGTCAAGAACAGGAGAGGAGAAAATGGCAAAGGCCAGGATATGAAAGATGATGATGGAAACGGCAGCTTTCACATGTGAGATACCTGGATAAACACCATCCAATCCTAGGTCTAAGGTTTTAACTTACTAAATTTTATTTCTATTCTCCTACTCTGACTAATAACGAACATAGTACTACGATACTCCCAACTTTACTATCAATTTAATGGTGTCAGATGTTAAAGTAAAACATTATATATTAGGGAAAAACCTCATATTGAAATCAAAAGAAATTATAAATTGAATTCACTTAGTTTATTTATTTTATAATTAAAAAACTCAAAATAAATTAATGACAATCTACATTTTCTATATAACAAGATGAGTTGGGTTTCAGAGTGAAGGCACTTTATTTAACCACCATTCCCTCTCTCTCACTTTCTCTTTATCTCTCTGTATATATGTATATGTATATGTATATACATAATATATATCTCAGTGTATTAAATATATTATGTATATATAGTTATTTAAGAATTACCTTGAAGAGAACTTTAAAAACAAACAGTAGCAAATAATTGTTAAAACTGTTGTGTTTTGCTTGCTATGATTAGATAATGATACTTGCTCCATGTATAAGTGATAAACACCGTATTCAGAAAGTCCACGTGTTTAAGACCCAATGGTCATTATGTGTACTGAATATACGTTCATAAAGTCCATTTTGGGGGTGATAAAAGTAAGAAAATTCTTGCTTTCATGGAAATTAAAAAGAGAGAGTGCAGATTGCCAGACAGATCTGCAGTCTAGCTGAAACACATTTGTTTTTGTATCTGTCAATTAAGACTTTAAAAACATTTTTTATAGCCAGGTGACTATCCCATCTGTTTGCTTCATCTCTTAAGAGTGTGTGACAGGGGTAATATTTTGCAAATATTAATTCAGGGAATTAAATTTCTCCGTTAAATTCACAGTGTTCTTAAATGTACAGTGTACCTTTTGAAGCATATTGCCCCAGGGAAGAGGGAAGTGGTTAGTGCTAGAAACAAGTCACTGATAAGCTTTGAATTCCATGAATTAAGTTTTAGCATCTTTAACAATACAATTTGGTTATGTAAAACAGGAATTAATAAATTACTATAGCTCCAGATTAAGACACAAAAAGCTGGGCCTCCAGTATTAGACCTTGGAATTGTATGGAAGAGGATGCCCTGGGGGTGGGGGTGGTGGGGAGAAGAGTAACGGAAGTCAGCTGCCAATCTCAACCTGGGTGTGTGTGTGTTGGGGTGAGGATGGGAGTATGTGGAGGGATGGACTGAAACATTGAGATGGGTTTGGGAAGACAGAGAACACCTGGGGCGGGTGTGTGGGGGCAGTATGCTTACTTATGGAATAGTGTTAGGGAGGTGCAGGCTACTAGGAAACCTAACACTTGATGAGCAGTATGCAGAGATGCCAGTGGAAGACAGATAGGTAAATGAACTGGATGTAATGCCTTGGTTCTCAAGGATTAAAGACATGCAATGAATATAGGAGTTTGTGTTTACCTCTAGAGACTGGGCACAAAAGAAAGGCAGAATACTGGTTAGTGGCTGACAAAGAGGATGCAGAACTCAATGATTTCAAGACTGGAAGCAAACAGAACCAAGGACTGCAGTGGGAGATGCCAACATGACACATTCCATTAAAAAAGAAAAATCAAATAGGGCCGGTCACAACCCAGTGATCACCAACAGGGAGCAGTTCAGATTGGCCATACTGCAGAAGTGACCAGCAAGAATCCAGGGGACATTGTATGGATTCAAGGTGGCTCATTTTTGTCATCAGACACGTGGTTACGTAAACTTCATTTTCCTCCTACACTCATATACGTTTTTGGAGAGAAATAGGGGATGGGAGAAAATCTGAAAGGCTAAGCATTTTATCCGTAATAGTGACCAAGGTAGCATTAACATTCCCCTCACCTTGACTACACTTTAGACAAGTTGCTTCCTGACTGTAGGACCCAGACCTCCCTTTTTTTTAGAGAATTTACTTTAGAAAATTTTCAATTGTAAATTCTTTTCTGCTCCTTTGAGATGTAAATCTTGCCAGCCTCTTGCCAGTAATATCTTTACCTGGGAGCCATCCCTTTGAAACGGAATCATCAAGAAAGGTAATGCTCCTTTCTCCCACTCTTTGTGGCAGTGTGGATCCAATTAGTAAACACGGATGTCCTAATCACGCTGACCAGCCTCCCCCAGGACCTCCTCTGGTACTTTTCCACTAGCTCACCTCAGGCTCCAAAACCCTTGCCTTTAGTTTCAGTGTCATTGAGGTCAATCTCTCCCCTACTGCAATCGTCTTGAATTCCTTGCCTGTTTAACTCTGTCCAGTGCAATTTTCCTTTGGCAATAGACACCATTTATCTAAAAAGACTTTAATTATTAAATGGGACTAAACTTACAGTTTATTAAGGTGTTTTTTCCCCCCTGTGATCGAGGGGAGTGGCAGCTAGCAGAGATGATTGGATCATTTATGAAGAAAACATGTTTCAATAATTTGCACATCCAAGTGTAATATAAATAAATTTGCAACCCACTATGAGTGTGATTGGGACTTTTAGTTTAATATGCCAGACTGTGTAGATAATGTTAGTTCCTCTTCCATCTGTAAAGCCTATGAAAATAATAAAAAATTAAAAAAGTTTCACCCTCTGACATTGAAGCGAAAGGGCTGTAGTAGGCAGAATTCTAAGAATGACTCCAATGACCTTTCCCTTATATAATTCTCTCCTCTGTGAATATATCATGTTACATGGCAAGAGAGATTCTGCAGATGTATTAATGTTACTAATCAGTTGACAATTAAAATGGAGATAATTTGGGTCACCCTAATCTAATCACGCAAATCCTTTAAACGCAGAGAGCTTTCTCTGGCTGGTGGCAGAAGGAGAAGTCAGAATCGAAGCCTAATTCTCTTGCTGGCTTTGAAGATTGAGGGGGCCGTGTGACAAGGAATGCTGGGGCCTCTGGAAGAAGAGAGAAGCCTCTGGCTGAAAGCCAGAAAAGAAATGGAGGCCTTAGACCTTTAGCAACAAGGAACTGGATTTTGTCAAGAACCTGAATGAGATGGAAATCAGAGTCTTCCCCAGAACTTCCGGATAAGAGTACAGCCTGGCTGATACCTTGATTTGAGCCTTCTAATACTCTGAGCAGAGAAACTTGCTAGGCCTGCCTCCACTTCTGACCTACAGATCTGTGAGGTAATAGATGGGTGTTGTTTTAAGTCACTAAGGTAATGGTAAATTTTTTACACAGCAATAGAAAATGAATACGGGGCCATTGGTAAATTTCAACAAACTACTAGAAGAACAAATATGGATGGAAAGTGCTGGCTGATGAAAGGGGGAATAAGTTAAGGTATGAGTATGGAACAGGTTACTCCCTGTTTTCTGCTGGCATTGGGTTGCCACTCTGGTTGGTTCTAAGTATAAAGGAATTTATTATAGGATATTGTAGACTGTCTAGAAAGGCCACAGAATCAATCTTTGATCCCACACTAAAGTGAGGCACTCAGCAAAATCATTCACTCATACTGTGAGACTTTTCCAGTGCAAAGCCTTCTGTGTCACTCAAGAAGCTAGGGACTAGACATCTGTACCTCCACCATTGTTGCTGCAGAAAAATCAAAGGACTTCCTAACTGTGGTTGCTACTTGGGCTGCGTGGTCTCAAGAGCTTCACTTCTGCCTTTCAAGTCTTGGCAGAAACTAGCCATGTGTTTACAATCTAGAGGCTGCTCCCCCAAATCTGAGAAATATGGAAAGGTGATATTAACAAATCAGAGAGTTATCAAAATGAGTAAGAGAAGGGAGGTTAAAGTAGTTTGGCCAGCCAAAAGGAACAATCAGAGAATAAGAAGGAGCCTTTTGCTTTTAAAAATGATTGTCAAATTAAAAAAAACCAGTAGAAGTTTTGAAAGATATAGTCAAGGATCCAGAATATAGAGCAAAAAAGAAGCAAGATGCAAAATATTAAAAAGAAAGAAAGAAAGAGGGTTAATCTAAGGTAGACAAATTCAGACTATTAAGATTTCCAAA